AACTTACCATCAAAACAATTAGTTAATAGTATATAATGTGTATATTATGTTTTATGTGTCGATTTCCCTCATTTCTTCCTATACTGAAGAATATGCACACCCAAAAATCTGCTAGATTACTTTCAGAATCAGAAAAGTCAAACAGTGAAATCGCAGAAGTATCTAAACACCAATTAAATCTCCCAAGAGGACTTATCCATATTTCTCCTTTTCAACTTTTCTTTATCCTACAGTTTTATGAGTTGTTGGCAAACAGCAGATTAATGTATTATTGCCCCCTAGTACTGCTCTGGTTTATATGCTTTGAATTTTCATCCTCATGAGAGTTTTTGCAACAGTTCAATAGATTCAGTCTTTGGTTAAAGACGGGGTCATTTAGACCCCACTAACGTTTTACTCTGTGTGCGGTACAGTGGGGTCACACTGACCCCATGTGCGCTTTTATGAGGTTTTTGTGTGTGTGTGTGTGTGTGTGTGTGTGTGTGTGTGTGTGTGTGTGTGTGTGTGTGTGTGTGTGTGTGCGTGCGTTTGTTTGTAATACCTTGTGGGGACGATTTTCCTGACATATACTACGTTGTGGGGACCAATTGCTCCTCGTGGGGACCGGAGCCTGGTCCCCACAAGGGGAAACCCTGTTTTTGGGTCAGGGGTCAGATTTAGGGCTAAGGTATGAATAGAGATTTGGATAGGGATAGGGTTAGGTATGTGATGGTTAGGGTTAGGAAAAGGGTAAAGGTAAGGTTTAGGCTGTAGAAATGAATGGAAGTCAATGGAAAGCCCCCACAAAGATAGCAACACCAACGTGTGTGTGTGTGTGTGTGTGTGTGTGTGTGTGTGTGTGTGTGTGTGTGTGTGTGTGTGTGTGGTTACGGGAACTGACGGTCTGACGGGACAACCCCCATGCTTCTGACCTTTACACCTGTCACGCTCCTCCTGAGGGTCTCGCTAAGACAGAGGAAGGGTTAAGAAATCATAACGACCAAGATTCGTCATCAGGATCAGTTGTTCAGTGTGTGATCCTCAGACTTTCAGCCGTCATTCAAAAATACTCTGTAATGGAGTGAACAGAGTTTAGAGTGTTCCCTATTTTAACCAAGTTTTACTTTGAAGTAGTTTAGTGTCCACAAAGATGATAAGATGATTACTTACTCAAAGTCAGCTCAGGCTTCTCAGTCTGCATGTATCCACTAATGGAAACTAGTTTTTCATTGCATTCGGTTTGATTTTGTTTTGTTATGTAGTTGTTGTTTTTTTGGTTTTTTTTGTTTTGTTTTGCTTTGCTTTTTGGCTCCACCAGAGCTGTCACGGTAACACACGGGTCATAAAAAGTAAATAAATGTGTGCACATTTGTAATGGAAAAGCAGATACTATGTACAGAGACAGATATTTACCAACACATGGCATGTTTACCTGGACTTTGGTTCTGGAAATCCACTCTGACATGAATGAGTTTTACATAAGAAGTCAGAAAGCTGAGATTGTTTTGCTCTTCATCCTCTTTTATCATTTCCTCTAATCAGCCTCCATCAGTTGCGTCTGTGTGGCTCCTGTCCGTCTTAGGCAAATGTGACAAAAGTACTGACTTTGTGTGTTCAAGCCACGTAGAAACTTCACACCTTTTTAGAAAGCAGATTTGAACAACTTTTGAAGAATTTAGCGTTGTTGTGTTGCTTTCAAGTGAGCAAATACATCCGAGACTCAGACTGAATAATATATTTCAAGAAAAAAAAAAAAACTCATGAAGACAAATTTATTGAAGTCTTCTCCTCTTAGCTCATTTGTCTCTTGCATGCATACAAATCACACTGGGGCAGCTAAGTGGATTTTCAGCAGCTTCTGCTTTCTCTTAAATTGATTTTTGTCAGCCTTGCGGAGAACGCTTGTAGAACCTTTAATCGCAGTGGTCTGGCAGGATGATTGGCTGTTTGCTTCACAATTACAGAAAGATTAGATTTTGCTGCTCTTTTCTTGAACCATTTTAAGCATGTCAGTGGCCAGCCCTAAAAATCACAATAAACACAACTCAATTGTATTCATTGAAAGGTAAATTTGTCCGAGGAACGGATATCTGAATAGATTTTTAATTAAAGTTGTAAGCGGCGATGAAATGACTTTTACCCTGGTTCTGCTCCGACCTTGTCTGTAGGAGTTGCTACAGCTTCCTGTTTGATATTGAGGGATTGGACAACTTCTTATAAAATGTGAATTATTTGACTTCAGCTTGATAACTTTTATCTGACACACTTTGAAGCCAATCAATGCTTTAAAAAAATTAAAAGCTTGGAAAGTGCAGCTGTGAGGAGGAGCTTTGTCCTCAAAGGCGGAGCTAGGCCCACTCAGGCATTGTACACAGTCAAATGGTTGCCATGGAGATTAAAGGATTTCTCAAACATGCTTGAAATAATCAAGGCAACATACATACATAAGGTATGTGCTTGATGAGGGAATAACATAACATGATATAAAGCAAAACCAATACTGGCCCGCTAATGACATAAAATATAAGACTTGAAAAAATTGGTTAAACATTTCACTTAATCACCTGACAGAAGTATTTTTTCTCTATTTTACATCTATGTAGAATTTAAGCAAAATAAAATTAAAAAATTCTAATTTTCCAAAAAGAAGTTTCAACATTTTAAAAACGTATACAAACGTGCATGCAAAGAATAATTTGGTATGTTTTCTTCTTAGCAAATATCGGTCACTATTCTTTAGTTGTTGTTTGAGTTTGCTTTAGGAGACTGTTGTTGAAACCCGTACAGGTCAGTTGCACCTGTAAGGCAACATCACGGATGTTTCCATCTTACAAGCTTACAGACAGAATGAGAAGCCTCTGGCTGAAGAGCGGACACAGTTTTTGTTGCATTTTGCATGGGCTGAGCACGTTTTATATTGTCTGTGGGAGTGCGCACCACAGCATGTTGTAATTTGTGCTTTGATTTCTCTTGTGCCTCTGCATATTTAACGGGAATTAACATAACTGTGGTTAATTACCACAAAAGTGGGCTGATGGGCTTATCTTTACATTGAGGACAGCGGGGAGAAATGGACTGATTCCCTGTGGATCACAGAGTCCGGCACTGTTCTCCTGCTGAACTCAGTTAATCACAACATACTTACTTGTTTGAAGCCCAGAAAGATAGGATACAATTTTGTGCATTTTAACAGACATTTTAGTGGACATTTCGACGCGCACATGCTCAGCAGAAAGCAAATACTTTCCACTTAGTGAGCAGGATCAAGCAGTGTGTCCATGACAGATAAGCAAGTCATTAGCTCCATGCTTAAACTGTCATATTAAATTATCCCATAAAGGATTTTAATTCACTGGACAAACATTGTTGAGAAGCTGTGCCTGACGCCACACACCAAATTACTAAATAGAATTAAAAAAGACCAACTGTGTTTTTAACACGTCAATAAGGACTGATTCTAATGAAGAGCTTTGTCTCTGGAGTTTTGGCTCAAGAAAAAACGATTTCAGAAGTTTTTAATTAACTGGGGAGAGACTCTGATACTCCCCTGACCTCAAAACAAATCTGACGTTTGTTATCAGATTTTCTGGGCAGGGAGTTCACTCCAACTGTCTATGACTAAAGTTCAGGACCCTCAGTAGCCTAAATGCCTTATATACTTGGACTCATTTTCATTGTTTTTAGTTGTGTCGTCTAACAGAAAGCAGTTTTTGAGTTAACAAATATAAAGTAATTGTGGTGGATCACCAGTACCTATTCAGCAAATACATTATCTTTGTAATGAAGCATTTTGTCCTGTAGGCAAAATGCTAATTCTCCTCGTCATGGAGCTGATATAAATTTGTTATAAAAGTATTACTGATTGCACTTTAAAAAATAGGTAACTTTATGTTATTAAAGGTAAAGTTTAAACAGCAATGATTTCTTGGTTAATGTCAAGTTGTCATAACAAAGACATTTTGAATAATGTCAACTCTGTATTAAAAGTGTCATAATTTACCGAATAACACTTTATGACAACAGTCATAAATATTCATGAAGGCTTATTCATGTTCATGACAGGTGTTATGTTAATGACAGTGTCATGACAGTCTTATTCAACCCCCTTCAAATAAAGTGTTACCGTTTTTTTAGTAGGAATGAAGGTTTTTGTTCAGCTTGTTCACATTTTCCAATCTTCACCTGTACTTGAACTTGTTTGTCTTGAATGGAGGTTTTGTCATACATTTGCACGCTGTCACTGCTGCTGTTCTTCTCCTTATTTTACACTACAGTGTGAGGATACAGAGAAAAGTTAGTTTTAGACACAGAGACAGAAAGATTAGGAATCAAACATTGACTTAAACAAGAACAACAGGCATCTGTATTACCAGGGAAGGCTGTGTAATGATCACACATCAGACACACTTCTGTGTAGAGGCGAGTAGATTGATCCAAAATATTGATACCAAGTCAGTATCGGATCGATACTTGTGTGGTAAGTTTGCTACTTTAGCTACATATTCCCTGTTGAAATGTTATTTTATTTTTGTGTTGAAGTTTCTCAAGGATAACTAAATGCTTTAGATTTCCTCTCAAATTATATTACTTTTGTGCTTTGTCTTAGGCAAAATGCACCCATTCTTTTTTCTTTTTCTATTGTTTCTGTTTATCAAGTTAATATATTTTTGCAGACACCTTTACACTTTGTACAAATTTTGCCCTAGCTTTTAACAAAATAATTCAATGGGAAAAACACACACAAAAAAAAAACACAAACACCGGGAAGTCAGAAGTTAAATACAGCAAACCCAAATAATAAAAAGTATCTGTATCGATACTGGCCACATATTCACTTGTTATCGGATCGATACCAATATGCATTATAAGTATCGATACTGGCCCTGTATTCTTATCAGATCGATACCGATATGCAGTATCGCACGCCTCGACGCAGAAGATAATCATCCCTTCATCAAACCACAGCTTTGCTTCTGCATTTCCGGTTTGACCAGAGATGTGTGTGCGTGTGTGTGTTGCAGATACCATGTGTGTGTGGCCATCCTGATCTACTTCCTGCCGCTGCTGGTGATGGGCTGTGCTTACCTCGTGGTGGGCCTGAACCTCTGGGCTAGTGAAATCCCAGGAGACTCCTCCGACCGCTACAAGGAGCAGCTCACTGCCAAGCGCAAGGTACCCTCCACCCCCCGCATTTCTGACTCCTAACTACGTTCATGTTATCTGAATGCTTTTTTTTTTCCTTATTCATGTCTGTACTTTCCTTCCTTCAGCAGCAGTGACTGCAAGTCTTGCTGCGTTTGTTTTGTTTTGACATAAAATAATGATGCTTGTACCACAGAACTGAAGCCAGCGCTCGTTGCTTTCATGTCGTGCTGCTGGTGCTTTTCTAGCCCACCTGTTGTCCGTTCCTTTCAACTACCTACAGCCACTTTACCCACTGCTTTGCTTCAGTCCATTTTCACCGACATACCTGGTACTTTCTTTGCAGTCATTTTCACATATCTTTCTTTTCCCAGTGTCTTTAAAATTCTGGATGATGGCTTTGCATAGACATGTAGAGATTAGTGGACATTTAGATTCTTATCTTGAACCGCTGCCATTGCTGCACTTTTCAAATGGTTTTGAGTAAAGTTTAGTCATCTTTGAATGCACATATTTTTCCAGTCAGTAAAACTCTGATCCACCCTCTGCTCTAATGAGCCAGCCTCTCACATCTGTTTCATTTCTCAGTATTTTTTTTTCAGGTCATTGACAGTCAGCAGAGCCAGTTATTGTCTGCTCTCAGTAATGATGCGCTTACAGACATAACATTTTCATTTTGACAGTGGAGAGTTCAAACCAACCGAGATTTTCTCTCTTTTTTTTTTTCTTGACAGCAAGTTTTGTTGCAACCTGTTAGGCAAACTGAGAGGTTTGTCTTTGGAAACGGAGTGAGAGCTCAGTCCTCAGCGGAGATAAATCAATGAACCACAGCTTTCTTTGTACAGAGGCAATCTTTGTACATTAATAGAAAACTGACAACACCAGCAGTAACATTGTTGATAGTAATGTCTCTCTTCTTTAATCTTAGATCTAATACAGTAGGAAGCAAAGATTTGGGTTCCTGTTGTCCGCACACTACGGTCCCATTTACGTGAAGAGGCTCTTCATTTAACCTGCAAGGTTTTTTGTTGCGATCCAGCCTTTAGTTTACACACTAGTGACAGGAGTCACTCACACTCATCTTTTGAAACCAGGTCAGAGTAGAACTCCACATGTGTGAAAAAACACATGCGCAGAACAGGGTTTATTCTATGCATTCACAATCAGAAAACAACAAATAGAATGGCAGCTAGCATTGTGCTACTTGTTTAGGACAAGGAACATGAACATGAACACTTAGTTAATGGGAGACGGGTTTAAAATGAGGTGGAAGCTAAGAGTCGGAAGTGCATGCGCGTTCCATGACATGCTAAAATGACAGCGCAATCTAGTGGCCTGGCATGACAACTACAGCTGACCCCAGGCGTCTTAGTGGTTGCCATTTAAACATGGAGCCTTTTCCTAATCAGCATCCGAAAATACCACCAGTTTCCAGGCAGTGGTCTCATGTAAACGTAGACTACCTCTCTGAAAGATTCATCTCCATAAGGTAAACAGTGACGTTGGGACGGTTCTCCATTGTTTGTTCCCTAGATGTTTTCAATGTTTCCAGAACTTCTGGACATAAAGTCCTTTACAACATCAGGGACCTTAGAGGAATCCCCAGTCTTAGTGTCATCACTCAGTCATTTGGGTGATGATTTGGTTGCATTAAATAATTTTCCATCTAAGTCTACACAGGAAGTAATGGGTGTGTATAATTCGAGGCTTAACCGTACATGCAAACTTCTCCTAAAAAGGCATCTGAAAGTTATCAGTAACCAACCAGACTGTTCAGATCAAGGGTTCCAACATTTTCAGATCGTATCCTGCTGCAGAGAAATGTTTCCTGATGCCACTCTCGTGCTGTCTTTTGTCCAACAGGTGGTGAAGATGATGATTGTGGTGGTGTGTACATTTGCCATCTGCTGGCTGCCCTTCCATGTCTACTTCCTGCTGCACCAGTTCTTCCCTGAGCTCTTTGAAGAAACGTACATCCAGCAGTTTTATCTGGCCATCATGTGGCTGGCCATGAGCTCCACCATGTACAACCCCATCATTTACTGCTGCCTCAACGACAGGTTAGTCAGCACCTCCACACATGAAATCTGTTATTCACACCTCATTTTCATAAAGCCTCGTATGTTTACCATGTCGTCTCAGCGAATACTGATTTGAAAACAGCCTGAAGGAAACCCTCACGAAGGTTTGTATGTTTGTGGTGGTTATGATTTGGTCTGTGCGTTTCTTTGAAGAACTTTGAAGGTTGCTCTTCAACTTATTCATAATGAGTTTTTCTATACAGAAGTAGTGGAATCTCATCTCAGGGCGGAAGCAAAAATGATAGCGTATGCATTCATTTCTTTTGACAGGAAAATATCAGAGTAGCTCTTTCAAAGCAACCAGCTGATCTGAAATGTTGAAGCAAAATGCTGATTTCCAAACATTTAACTCATGATGTTTCAGCTACGAATCAGAAACAAGTGAGAGTTGCTAAATGACCCGAGTGGCCAGGCTAACTACTTTTAGCTATGTGATTCCATCTCTCTCTTGGTCCATTAACTCTCCTTCATAAAAGCCAAAAACTACTTCAAGCGAGTGTAAAAAAGTTTTTTTTTTGCAAAACTGAAAAACGTTATTTCAAACTTTGCCATTTCCATCAAACTTTACTAATGAGATCCATCAAAAATGCCTATATAAAACATTGATGTAAACACAGTTTATAGAGTCCTGTGAACAGCGCAAGTAAATAGGAATCACTATTTATATTTGCCATTGATTGCAGTTTATAAATTACCCATATGCCACTATTAAATATATGTCTTTTATTTGAGTGTCATGAGGAGATACCCCAGGTAATCAGGATTACACGTCTACATAACTGGTGCTGTAGCATACACAGTTTGATCACCAGGTTTTTAATTATCAGATGTTTTTGAACAAGCTGAAAAATGGCGTGGCTCTGCACTCATGAACAACGGCTTCATTTAAACCGGATCAGAACACTGAATTCATCCCAATGCACACTCACTGTACACAGACGGCTCTATATTCGCTTCAAAGACCTTAAAACCCAGAACTTGTTCTACAGATTGCGACTGCTCACGTGTAGACCCATGTCACCCACAACACACACAATTTATGATCCAAGACATGAAACACTTCAGCTTCAGCGACAAGTTGCTGTAAATTCAGCGCAGCAGAGAGAGAGACTGCTCATGCTCACTTTGGAATCACTCGTTCAGGAATCTGTCAGCAGCCTGAAAGCTTCCAAAAACAGAGAGAGGATAGGATAAACATCAAACTCTCTAAATGATCTCAGGAGCTGGTTAAACGTGAGGAGTGGGCGTTGGGAATGTAGCGCACATAGCATCCAACTTCTGAAATATCAATCCAAAGTCTTGATTTTCTTGCAAAACAGAGACAGATGGTCGGCTCTGTTTGTTGTCTTTAATCGTCTCCCGTTGTTCTCTCCTCCAGCCATTTGTCTTTGTGCAACTGGTGAAATGAGATTTCACACTTAGTTGTGTTCTCCAAGGAAATTCATTCAGTCCTAATAAGGCAGACATGTGGGTTGGATCAGCTGAGGCTGAGTCACTGTTTCTGTCCAGGTTACCAGCAGGTTTCGGCTCATTTCAGATAAAACCCATCACCCATCAGCATCCCCCCTTCTCTGTCATAGGTTGTTTTCTTCATCTTGTCATCCTTCTTTACAAAAAAACCCTCTCTTTATTTGTTCACATCTTTTCTCACTGTAAAAACCTTTGAACAGAAGATCATCCTTGCATATCCTCTGATTCAGTGGAATGTCTAAGTTATTTTTGTCTGTTTTCTAACAGCTTTTCAAGTGTTAACAGACACAGAGATGCTTTGGTTAGACTGCTTGTGCTGTCAGACAGTTCGAGAACTGCTATTGCCATTTATTCTTTTTTTTTTACTCATCTAGTGAAGTATGTACAGTAGTAATTCATCACGATGGAGTTGATGTAAACACCGTGTCCAAGTCGTCTGCCTGCGTGAGTTGACATTTTAAAGCTTCCTTTCTAAGCTAAGCTCTCTGAATAATCATCCACTGGATCCAACCCAACAAACCACACAGAGGTAGTGGATACAGAATCTATAAATTACTGTTTCATTCATTAAACAAAAAAAGGTAACACTTTATTTGAAGGGGGGTGCATAAGACACTTTCATAAACATGACACCTGTCATGAACATGAATAAGCCTTCATGAATATTTATGGCTGTTGTCATAAAGCGTCATTCAGTAAATTATGATACTTTTAATACAAAGTTGACATTATTCAAAATGTCTTTGTTATGACAACTTGACATTAACCAAGAAATCATTACTGATATAAATTTGTTATAAAAGTATTAATGATTGCACTTTAAAAATTAGGTAACTTTGTTATTAAAGGTAAAGTTTAAACAGTAATGATTTCTTGGTTAAAGTCAAGTTGTCATAACAAAGACATTTTGAATAATGTCAACTTTGTATTAAAAGTGTCATAATTTACCAAATGACACTTTATGACAACAGTCATAAATATTCATGAAGGCTTATTCATGTTCATGACAGGTGTTATGTCATGTTAATGACAGTGTCATGACAGTCTTATTCACCCCCCTTCAAATAAAGTGTTACCCAAAAAAAAACTGTAAGAACCAGTTTGACCACAAAAACAACAACAAAGAGATCTGAAAGGACACAACTGTGCTAACATAGCACACAAGTTTGAAGAACTAAGCATGTCACATATTTTCTTTTAGTCCAGAGACTAGACTAATCTGTTTGAATGTATTATTAACCATAATATAGAGCTTAGTCTTTGTAACGAGCAAGTGTAACATTAATTTATTAATCTGGGATTAACAAAGTGAAACCAAATCTGAAGGTGTTACTTGCTGTATGTTATGTAAACGATCGATTCCAGGTACGAAAATGTCGGTGTTTTAAAGCTTCCTTACAAGCTCTTTGAATAATCACTCACTGAATGCGCCGCATCGGGCCACCCATGCTTCCATTTTATGGTGTTATTGTGATTATTATCTTACCAAAAAAGTGTCCCTAATCACTGCCAGAAAAGCACAGCGCAGTGGTAATTTAGAGCCATTGTCCACTGAGGACATTCAATTTCATCCATTAAATTAAATATCTGGATCTTTAGCAACTAATTGGTCTATTATGCTCCCTTGCTGCAGCAGAAGCATTTAAATTAGGCTGTACATGTTGAAAGAAGTGGTATCTGACGGTAATCTCATTTGTGTTTTTCCATACCATACCATCTTTATTTATAAAGCTCTTTAAAACAACCACAGCTGATACAAAGTGCTGTACATTAAAACACAACATAACAATAAAAAAATAAAAACTCTTACAGTTTAAAAACAAACATACAATTTAAAACTGGATCCCGCTGGAGTTGAAAGCCAAGTAAAATAGATGGATTTTAAGACGAGCTTTAAAAGTGGACAGTGAAGGGGTCTCTCTAACGTGCAAAGGCAAGTCATTCCATAACTTAGGACCCATGACAGAGAAAGCCCTGTCCCCTCTGAGCTTCCTTCTTGATCCGTACCTACCCTTTAGGTAATGTGTTTCCCTCCTATATACACTTGTAGTTGGTTATTTGTCTATGAACTGACGAAGAACTTGCACAAAGGCTACATTTAAATGTAGTTTTGAGAAGCCAAGGGCACCACTTTTCAGATCACATGTGACGTTATTGCGTATGATCAACATTTGATAGCATCAGTCAATTTAAAGTGCATTTACCTCAGGAGGTGTTGCAGCCAGTCACACGCTCACACCCAACGTCGACTCTGCCAAGCTTCACAGACATTTTAAAATCTGGACTTGGATATTTTGGACTAGATATGATGGAAGTTCTCTAAAAGTGGAAAATCTAAATGGGAACTCCAAACAGTTTCTCACTAGCCAGTCTTCTTTTCAAAATTTAACATGGGTGCTTGTAAGTAAAAGATAAAGATAAAAATAATCTGGTTTTAAAAACAAAAGTGTCTCTAAAAACCTTCACCTACTCAGTCTAATCTCCTTTAGAGAACATGTAGCCAATTGCTTTATGGAGCAAAACAGAGAAACGGTTACTAGCTTGTATTGCTAATAATTGCTAGCCTGGTAATGGTGAATGTCAGTTCACAAATCCCACCAGTTTTCAATAGCCAAAAGTGAAACTTTTCCGTGACGACAGACAGCAACAAAAGTTGAAAATGTTTTTCACTTCTTTGTGTTGCGTCGCCAGCCCGCATGTCCACATCTACATGTACGAACTAAAATTTTCACATATGAATTACACCAGCTGCTCGGATGGATGGGGACACACTGTCGCCTCATTGCACGAAGTTCCACAGGAAATGAATGGAGAGGGACATTTCTAAAATCACTTACTGGATCTAAATATCTGGAATCTTCAGACATGTTTGGTTTGAGACACTAAAATATTTTCTTAAACATTTTTTTAAAACGTGCGTACATATGGGCAGTTGCCCAGGGTGGCTTCACAAGTGGGTGAAGTACCCAAGAACTAGAAAATAAAATATATCTCATCTGTCAGTTGTTCCCTGAACAAGTTTGCTACTACTTCCATATATGAGTAGGGGAGTAAGTTTCCCTTAGTTGCTGTTGGGTATTGTGAGACTAGACTATTTGCTTTCTGCTACAAAAAATAATCAATCAGATAATTTCTTGCATTTTAATTGGTTGGAGCTTCCCCAGGGCACCATTTCTGCAAGAATCACAATTGCGTGCATATTTGTATTTCCAGCTTTGCGCGATTAGTCTGAAATTTTTTAATTGATTGACAGCACTACTTCAAAAGGACTACAGTGGCAAGCTGTAATATTTTGCAGCTTAAGTAACTAATTGTATTCTCTCTGTTTTTCTGCATCAGGTTCCGTGCTGGTTTCAAACAAGCCTTCCGCTGCTGCCCCTGTGTCCCTCCAGGCTCCTATGAAGGCCTGGAGCTGAAGTCCACTCGGTACCTGCAGACCCAGACCAGCGTTTACAAGGGAAGCCGGATGGAGACGACCGTTTCCACTGTCCTTCATGTCGGAGAGGACGCAGAGCATCCCAAGGTCAAAGTCAGAGGAGGTCTTGGACCGGGAGGGGCTGCCGTTGGCGTGCAGCCACACAGTTCCACCATGGACTTGACTTCCAACGGCTCGTCGTCAAGGAGCGTCTCCAAAACTGTATCTGAGACGTCCAGTTTCTTCTCCAGTAACAACCTGCAGGAATAGTCCTGCTTTTCACCAGACAGCAGTCAGAGCGCGTGAGTTTGACTGTTCACACGGTTGCTTTTTTCGTTCGAGGGATTCGGATGGAGTATAGAAAGAGTGTGTGACTTTACCTGCTGGTGCCTGTCAGTTTCTGAGTGTGTTTTAAAGGAACGTTGTCCTACAGAACTGAGCACTGCCATCACTCACAGCCCAACTGAAGAAAAAAACTAATTCATAAGGATTCATGTTTATCGTACACTAGAGCCAAACAGCAGCAAATCAAGATAAGCACATTCCAGCTTGAAGGCTAAGCAGAAGCTGAAGCTGAAACTGTCATCTCCCTTCTTCACAGCTTCTGATCGTCAACGTCGCTTCCTCTCAGTGCAGAAAAGAGAGGGTGGACTCACACATTCTCAATCACACAAGCCATGTGACTTCACACAGTCTATTTTGGACCGGAGCCACCGTACAGCATGAGACGAACGTGATTGTAGGCAGGGCCTGGCTTTAACAGAGGAACTTCTCTGAAAGACGAGAAATTCTTCACACGTTTAGCTGAGAGACACCGCTGACGACAGGAACGCTCCGACGTTTCCACCGTGAGGAACAAAGTATCAATTCTGAACTTTAACAGAGAATTTTGGCGGTTGCTGTGTGCTGTGTGTGTGTGTGTGTGTGTGTGTGTGTGTGTGTGTGTGTGTGTGCGCGTGCCACTTGATCCAAATGTTAATTCTTATCAGCCCAAGCAGGACTGCATTGGGAATCCACCGTGCAGAATGTGTGTGTATCTCCTAGAAAGAGCGCTTTAAAGATCCCCTGTGGGCTTTTCTGAGAAGTTCTGGCAATCAGCGCAAACACCAGCAGCGACTGGCTCATCTTTCATCTGTCAAAACATTGACTTCAACAGCTAGCAGCACCGTTTCTGAAAAACACAAAGGTTTTGGGGGGGGTTTTGACGCTGGAAAAGTAACAGCAGGATGGATTTAACCTGAATCCAAAAACGCAGATCAAAGAAAACCATATTTCAGAATCGAACAGATCTAAACAACGCGTGGAGCCCTGTGAGTAACTCACCGGTTCAGAGTTCTTGGCACCCTGCTCAGTGTTTATCGAACACTTAATTACAGGGATTAGAGTAGAGTGATCTTACAGACTGTGAAGGATTTACAGTGAGTAGTTGCTGTGTCTTTATGTGTTTTGGCAGGATTTCGTCTACACCTCACACTCTGTGTCTGGAGCGAATGTCTCCTTCCTTCTCACATCCTGTGTTTGAGTTGTAGATGATGATGACTTCTGCCATGTAGTCGTGTATGTAAAGTGTGATCTAGCCACCCGGGAAGGAATATCAGGGCCGAAAGTCTTTGAGAATCTTTTGGACTGGAATATTAAACGTCCGTGGTGTGTAGCTCTTTAACATGCAACCGTGTGCCTTGCTGCTTAGCATAACGTCTGTGAGAGGCCAACAGGATCACAGCCGCAGCTCAGGCTGCTGTTGTCCAGAGAAACCAGGCAGTGAGGCGAGGAGCCGCAGACACCTACCGGGACAGTCTGTTACATCCTACAGCATTAACACCCCCAACATTCATTTATATACACATAGTAATATGACCGGTGGGTTTAGAGTTTATGCTTTGTTGCACTGTTCTTACTCAAACTCTTAAAAAATGGCTTTAAGGTCTAATGTAATATAATATTAATTGTCTGAATGTGATATCTATGGAAAAGGTTATTACATTTTGTTCTTTGATTGTTTCATTTCTCATAAACGGTCAGTTTGATTAATTGACGCCTGAATGTTGTACAGATTTTCTGCAGTGTGCTTACTCACTAAATCCACAAGAGTTACATATTTACTTTGTATAAAAAAATAATAGCTAAGCATTAGCTCACATAATGCAGTGCCTCCAAGAAGTCTCAGCGAGGTGTTGATGTCTCAAATCTAGTTTTTGTTCACATAAGGGAAATGGCTTTATATTTGCATTTTTTTTAATATAAATTATATTTTACAGGTATAGTTGGTTTACATCCTGTTTTTAAAATGGGTACTGCTGGCAAAATCTGAAAATGTCACCATAACATCCACACACAAACACCAGTCACAACAGACTATACAGTTAGTTATTTTAAACAAGAATGTCCTGATTTTTGTTAGATGGTTTGAGAATAGGTGTATGCTAATGCCGACTTAAATTTTTCCTTAAAGTTACTAGGATCCAGTTCATGTTTGTGCCTAAAGCAAATTACACTCCACATTTATTCGGTGTAAGAATATGCCAATTATAAGCACCATAAAATGCTCTTTGATTGATGAAATGTACCATGGCACTTCAGATGTGTGTCCTCTACAGCAGTCTACAATGAACTCTTCTCTTAAACCTGCTAGTTTTATGCTACATAGCTCACTAGGCTAAAGTTTGCAATGCTAACTTTGTGAGCTAACTTTAGCATGCTAACTCACTGTTTTGGGTATGACTTGGTGATCATTCTGCTCCTTCCACAGTTCACTGTCACTCTCGTTAAATGTGTGTGCACAAAACATACAGAAAAGCAAAGTTCTTTAACGTCATAAAACTCAACAGTAAGAAGGCAGAGAAGGTGACGTGGCACAGAAAGTAGAAAAACCTTAAGAATCTAAGCAGAAAACTCAACATAACGTTCCAGGAACTCCCAAAGTAAATGATTCAAAACTGCCATGATTGGCAGTTTTGAATCACAAGGACAGAGGTCTATAAAATGTTTAGCACGAGCGCACGGAGGTGGATTTTTTTTTTTTTTTTTTTTTTTTATTTTTAAAGGTTCTTTTTTTTTTCATGGTCT